ATGATGAGCAAGAGTGCCTCTACCAAAATTGTGAATTTTATGGCCCCAGGGTCAGGGGTTCTAGTGATAGGGTGGGGCTGTATTGATTATACAGTGAAAATACACTAAATCTTTGAAAGTTTTCTTCTCTGCTCCTTGGTATTAAGCAGACCTATGTAGTTATGATGAGCAAGGGTCCTAATCTTCCAGAATTGTTAATTTCAAGGCCCCAGGGTCAGGGGTACCATAAAGGAGGGGGGGACTGTACTTATATACTGAAACTGGATGAATTGTTTGAAATCTGCTCCTTGGTATTTATCAAATATTTTTGAAAAGCAAGGGTGCCTTTTCAAAAATTGTGCAATGTGTGGATCTAGGCTTAAGGGTCAGGGGTTCATGTGTGATTGGGGCATTACTGATCATGCTGAATATTACTGATTACTTGAAATGCATTTTTTGTTCCCCTACCCTGCCTATGGGTATTAAGTAAACAAACTAAGCAACTGCTAAGTGTATTGTTATGATGATCAATGGTGCCTATTTCAAAATTGTGAATGCCATAGCATCTGGATTAAAACATGAATCAAATTCAATCACTGGAAAGTTGTTGCATAATGCTCAGGTGACCTATAAGGCCCATGGGCCTCTTGTTTAGTTACAGAGTGATATAAAATGAAAGAAGATTTAAAGGGATTTTTCTATTCTATTTATAGCACCCAGTAATTTTCATATCTTACCTGTAAAAAATGGATTCCTTTAGAACTTCAACAATGTGAGTTTTTAATTAAATATTTGTATGTTACTGCAACATCTGAATCACTTTTAACATTTCGCAGATCTTTTCTATTTTCTTCTACTTCTTTCTTTGTAAAATTAATGCTATGTTGAGAAAAATTGATCATGATGACAGTTAACACATTTTTAGAAGACTTAATTTTCGTTGAAAAGTAAAAGCAATATTTTAAGGCTGAGAGTGAAATATAGATTAATCAATAAAAATGTAATCATATCAAAATTATGTAAGTACTGAATGGTTAACTTAATTGCATATATAATTTTTTTGTCAAATTTATTTTAAATTTCCCTTTCATCATCATTAGAAAGACAGTCCTACAACGTATGTCCGAGTCAGTGTTCATGGGACTGTGTGTTAAACTTGGGACTTCACAAATGGTGGCGATGAGGAGAGATGTGGTGGACATCTTGGATATGGCGGATAATCAAGGGAGAGCAAGTGATGTGGTCAGAAGGATGGGGAGTGGAAGTCGCAGAGAAGGATTCAGACTGAAAGGATCAGATGTAGACATAATGGGTTGGCCAAATAACCACCGTGTGATCTGGGAATTATCTCAGTCTCAGTATTACAACACACACAGACAAACACTGATCCTCTGTGACTGTTTTGATAGTCCACCAGGGTACACTTTGTTATATTTACTGTCACCAAGCATGGACAGAAGAATCCAGAGAGCTTGTGTTAGAATGAATAACAGGCTTTATGTCTCCAGTTCAGAATACAGAAAGGTTTGTTGTTCTGCACTTTCACCTGACACCGTTTCACATGGACCCTGTGCCAGTGGAACATTTGGAACACTACAATATGATTATGCCCACTGTTTTGTTGGTGACTTTTGGCCTCCATCTGCCTCCTCATGGATAGACAGATGTCACTCATGGCCCCAGCCTCATGTTGTTTATGAGATAGTAAAAAATGGATGTCACCTTGTAGCAACTGGACATAAACTAGGATATCATGTGCATAATGAATGGAGAATTTCTTTCTCTCTTGCAGAACATAAACTTGTGTGTGCTATGAATCACTGTCAATTCCTAAGTTATGGCTTGCTTAAATTGTTCTTAACAGATATAATTAACTATGGAATAAGTGATGATGATAAATTAATATGTTCCTATCACATGAAGACAGCAGCTTTCTGGGTGATTCAACAAAACATGATAACACATTGGTGTCCGCAAACTCTCCTGGAGTGTTTCTGGGTTTGTTTCAAACTCATCCTTAAGTGGGTGTATGAGGGAGTCTGTCCTAACTTTTTTATCCCCCAAAATAACATGTTTCTGAGTAAAGTCCATGGTGAAGCACAACATCATCTATTTATAAGACTGTATGGATTGTATGAGGAGGGTATAGCATTCCTGCTACACAGTCCCTCCGTTAGGTCTTGTATTATAAATGTCCTCCATAACCCCCACCTCTCCATCTGTACAGATGAACATATTCTGATTTCTATGACTGAGTTTGATACAGAGCTATTCCAGGAGATAGACAGTCATGACATACTTCACAAATCAAACCTAGAAACCTTCATGAGATATCTACATACAATAGAACAGATGATAGACTCATCCCTCCTTACACAGTATCAAGTCATGATGCTACAGAAACTTTCAGCTACTGTCCTTCAGGGCACTGCTTTTATATTACACATGGAAACTTACACACCTGACAACAAACTGAGGTATAGAGCTGACAAAATGTCCTGTTACATGTTGAAATTAGCAGCCAGGTTTAGTTATATTACTGACATGATGTACATAGCCATGTATTATTACAAGACACTTAGATACACAGAAGCTTTATCTATCATAGAGATGATCAAGGTCAAGTTAGCACAGCCATATGTGATGTATCGGTATAATATAGATACAGAGCTGTATACCGAGGCTGTAGGGGGACAGTCCTGGTCTACAAAGATGAGACAGGCTGTAGCAAGGGATATCAGTCTAGACACTGACGTCCATTATATCAGTGAATTGGTACCAGAACAACAGTCTGCTCTACAGAACGAGGTGTATTCATTATTCATACCACCTTTTATACTATTATACATGCTAGAGATCTTGTGCTACAGACATGTAGACACAATGAGAGTACAAACAGCTCTAGATGATCTACAGACCCTAGTTCACTATGATCAGGATCAGCTTATACCAATAGAACTCAGAGACATATCGTGGCAGATTCTGGGGATCTGTCAACAGGTGACAGGGAACCTCCAGGCTGCTCTATACTCATACCAACAATCTCTCAGACAAAGACCACACAACAACATACAAACAGCTACAGAAATGAGAATACAGGAAATATGCCACAGCTTACCAAATTAGTGAAAGAAAACTACACATTATCGAAGCCCATCTGATAGAATTTTTCATTTGTATCATTTCTTCTCATTTTACCAAATTTTCTGAATGGTCATTTCATTGATTTAAAAACAGGTGACAGGGAACCTCCAGGCTTCTCTTTACTCAAATATTCCCTCTACCAGATGCCATATAACAAAAGACAAACTGCCACAATTATCAGAATTATAACAATATCTATAGACTCCTGGCAATGTCTTTTAGTTACAAAGTCACATGATGATGTCTTGCAAAAAAGCACCAACAGCAAACTAGTCAGATTTTTTAGTAACAAAATAACAGCAGACCTTTGAGTAATGTCTATCTTTTATCCGAAACACAAATCATATCAATTCTCAAAATACTTAAAATACTGATGCTAATCTGAATTTGAATGCGTTTTCTATTTATCAGTTGTTCTTTGTGAAGGTTGTGAATTGTGTTTATAAAAAACAGTGTTTTACGAATTATATTTTCTTTTTTCATAAAGTAGTTCTGTAAATACCGTATAATCCCTATTAACCGCCCCGGGCACTTAGAAAATTGCAAAAAGGGGGCGGTAATTTTTGTGTCCTCTTTATGATATTTAATGTCATTATTTAACTTCAAAAATCGTTTGAAATTAAAAACAAGAGGCCCATGGGCCTTATAGGTCACCTGAGCATTATGCAACAACTTTCCAGTGATACGAGTTGATTCATGTTTTAAGCCAGATACTATGGCATTCACAATTTTGAAAGAGGCACCATTGGTCATCATAATAATACATTTAGCAGTTGCTTAGTTTGTTTGCTTAATACCCACAGGCAGGGTAGGGGAACAAAAATGCATTTCAAGCAATCAGTAATATTCAGCAATAATCAGTAAAGCCCCTATCACACATGAACCCCTGGCCCTTAGGCCTAGATCCACACATTGCACAATTTTTGAAAAGGCACCCTTGCTTTTCAAAAATATTTTATTAATACCGAGGAGCAGATTTCAAACAATTCATTCAGTTTCAGTATATAAGTACAGCCCCCCCCCTATGGTACCCCTGACCCTGGGGCCTTGAAATTCATAATTCTGGAAGATTAGGGCCCTTGCTCATCATAACTATATAGGTAGTTCAACTGCTTAATACCCAGGAGCAGATAAGAAAACTTTCAAAGATTTAATGTATTTTCACTATATTGTCAATAGAGCCCTGCCCTATCACTAGAACCCCAGACCCTTAGGGCCATAAAATCAAAATTTTAGAAGAGGTATTCTTACTCATCATAACTACATGTATATGTACTTAGTTTATTTAATTCCTAGGAGCAGAAAAGAAATTTTTTCAAAGAATTGTATGTATTTTCACTATATAATCAATAGACCCCGCCCTAACACCGAACCCCTGACCCTGGGGCCATAAAATTCACAATTTTGGTAGAGGCACTCAGACGCACTCTTGCTCATTATAATTATGCACTTAGTAAGTTTATTTAATACACAGGAGCAGAGAAGAAGATTTTCAAAGAATTCATGTATTTTTACTATATAATCAATAGAGCCCCACCCGAACATCAGAACTCCCTGGGGCCATAAAATTCACAATTTTGGTAGAGGCACTCTTGCTCATCATAACTATGCACTTAGTTAGTTTATTTAATACCCAGGAGCAGAGAAGATTTTCATAGAATTCATGCATTTTCACTATATACTTATTTAGCCCCGCCCTAGCACTAGAACCCCTGACCCCGGGGCCATGAATTTCACAATTTTGGTAGAGGACTCAATGCTGATTACAATCATGCAAACAGTTTGACTGCTTGATGTCCAGGAGTAAAGAAGATTTTTAAAGATTGCATTAATTTTAGTGGTTTTTGCCCCAACCCCCAGGGGGCAGGGACCATGAAATTCACAATTTTTTTCCCCTTCACCCATAGATGCTATGTGCCAAATTTGGTTGAAATTGGTTCAGTGGTTGCAGAGAAGAAGCTGAAAATGTTCAAATGTTAATGACAAAATACAACGCACGACGACGGACGGAAACAGATAGCAATAGGTCACCTGAGTTTACTCAGGTGACCTAATAAATACAAGAAACAACGAAGACTATGTTTAACTATATTTAAAGTGAAGATAATCCACCCAAATTATGCTAAATTGTTCATTTTCCAATGAGAAATTGGATGAAAGACAAATTTCATTTTCACTTTCTTCATTTTTTATAAACGATTCTGGTTGTTTTTAATCATTTACAGGGGGCCCTTATTTCCTGACAATTGAAAAAGACCTAAGAGGCGCTTATAGGGGTAGGGGCGGTTAATAGGGATTATACGGTAATCTAAAATATTATCATTTTATGCAAGTTTCTCTTGACAACAATTATGTACATGTATAATGTTTGACATTAAAAGCATACAAAACAGAAAGAATATCAATTTTGATATTTTCATCATTTTATTAATTCAAAGATGACACTTTGAAATAAATATATTTAAAACTTTAAACACTTCCCTATACATAAAGTTAAAACAAGACACCATATTTTAAATAAAATGTACAATATTTCATCCTGAAAACTGATTATCTTCCTAATGAACTCTCTCCTCAAATACTCTCAAAGCAAAACAAATCTTCCATGTAAACAAAATGATACAGAATGACACATGACAGACTGATTTCAAGTCACACAAGAGGCCCAGGGGCCACAGCGCTCACATGAGCACATCGGGCTTGAATTTACTCCCCCCCCCCTTCCAGGCGTTCATCATTTCACTAATCATAGCTTTGAAGTACTTGAAAAGAAGATTTTAAAAGGTTTCCCTATATATCCCTATGTATAATTTGGGTCGGCCATTTTGGCCCCACCCTAGCCTCGGGGGTCATGATTTGAACAAACTTGAATCTACACTACCTGAGGATGCTTTCACATGAGTTTCATCTTTCCTGGCCCAGCGGTTCTGGAGAAGAAGACTTTTTAAAAATGCCATTAATTTTTAACAAATTCATGATTATCTCCCCTTGGAAAAGGGAGTGGCCCTTCATTTGAACAAACTTGAATCCCCTTTACCCAAGGATACTTTGTGGCAAGTTTGGTTGAAATTGGCCCAGTGGTTCTTGAGGAGAAGATGAAAATGTGAAAAGTTAACGACGACGACGCCGACGACGCCAACGACGACAGACGACGGAGAAATTTTGATCAGAAAAGCTCACTTGAACCTTCGGCGCAGGTGAGCTAAAAATTCAATAAAAATAAAAAAAAAACATTTAATAGAGATCAAAGTGTCATATATGAGTGTGGAGCAGATATTTGAAGAAAGGAACGAATCTACATAAACTGGTGAAACATATGTGGTCAGCAGATAGTTCATCATCACCATTATGTAAAACATCAAACATATAACTCCATTCCGCACCGGAGGCAAAGTCCAAAAACTGTCAAAATTTTCTTCTTCAATGCAAGTTTCTTCCGTACCGAAACCTGAAAAAAGAACTTCAGGAAAATGTAGAATAATTCGTTGGTCTGTACAATTGTAAATTTAAAAACTTAAAAAAAAGTAATTAATGTCCTTGAAAGCTTTGCTATGGGCAGCGGAAAGGGCAAAAAATTACAATAACACGAAAACAAACAATTATTTTAATTTCAATGACCATAAAAACTTAACAAATGATATACAATGCATAATCAACAGACCTTTTCGCAGAACAAGTAGACATTAAAGCAAAACCAACGAACACGTACGTAACAAACATACATGAATGCAAAACCAACGACCATCTTTGCAGTACAAACGTACATAAAAACACGAAAAAAATTAACCAACGTGCACGCGGTAAATATAGTCTTCCCGACTCCCGGCTCCCGACGGTCCCGTGTTTTTTTTTTTTTTTTTTTTTTTTGCGATTTCTTCTTTGCCAGCGCACAGAACGTCTACACACTTCTCAGGCAAATTTCTAGGTTTAAAAAAATCATTTATATATAAAAACTTGCGTATCTATTACTGAATCAGCAGTATCATCTGCCAAAAGCGGTAAATCTAGTACTCAGCTATAAATGCGAAAAACCACTGAAAAAAGGACACCAATGTTTTCGTAGAATCGCGATTAAAACAACAAACTGAGGTACAGTTGATATTTTTTTAATAAATGAAAATTTATCTTAAAAATTTAAATTGAAAAAGAATTTACCTGAAATGTAAAAAAAAATATCTCAGCTACGTAGCAACAATTCCCAATTTTAAGAGTAAGGTCAAAAAAGGGTTATGTAGTACATGTTTATTAGGAAAAAAATGGCACTGAAAGAAGTTGAACCTAACCCTCCCCCCCCCATACATACACACAACCTCTCTCTCTCTCACACCCTCACTCACACACACGAGATTTTCGAGCTTGGGCTATATCATTTTAATTTGAGGTTAATTTTATTTAGTCTTAAAGTTATTGAAACATGATTGCCACTTTTCCTAAGTATTAAGAATAAAATTAAAATTTGTGAGAGTGCAAGGGTGTGTCAATCAAACCCGTCTAAAAATTTGAAGTTTTAATAACTTTTAGATGAAATAAGATTTTCAATATATTTTTTGTGTGAAATGCTATTAGAATATATAAGTCGTAATATTATACTTAAAATATTAACTTCAAATCTGTGTTCATGCACCTCTACTATCTACGACACTTACGTCTCTCTGTATCGATGTCCGTTTTTGGTTTTCATATTTATAACGGAGTACTATAGTAAGCGCTTTTTGGAAGGTGATACTGCTAATTCAGTAATAGTTAAATACGCAAATTTGTTTAAGTTTTTACATATTATTGAATTCATTTAAAAAGAAAATGTGCCTGAGAAGTTTGAAGACTTTCTGTGCACCGACAAAAAAGAAATAAAAAAAAAATCCGAGACCGTCGGGAGCCGGGAGTCGGAAAGACTACATTTACCGCGTGCACGTTGGTTAAGTTTTTTTTTCGTTTGTCGTGTTTTTATGTACGTTTGTACTGCAAAGATGATCGTTGGTTTTGCATTCATGTATGTTTGTTACGTACATGTTATGTTTTGGGTTCGTTTATATACGAAGAACTACCATGAGCGAGCCATGCTGTTTATTACCGTAAGTCCACATACATGTATCAAGTCGTACATATAATGTTTCAACTTTCATATAATGTACATTTCGATAACATCTCCCTTTTTTCAAGATATTACAAAGTCAATAAACAGTTACTTTAAAAAGCAGGGAATATTTTCGACATTTGTAGCATTACAAACATAGTCGCATTTTCATCAACAAACAAAACTTTGACTAGAAATTACTGACTAGAAACTTTAACGAACATTACTAATTAGAATTTATCTAATTCAAATCATGCATTAGCCAACAATAACACAGTTATGAAATATACAAGTCATAAGTTCAGTCTCTGAACTGGCTTGGACACTGTACCAGATCTGGTGATGCGCGAACTTGTTTGATCGACGCGCACAGGTTTGTTATTCACATTTGTCGCAGATTGGTTTTGGGTTTCGCACAACTTTTCATCACACACATTTTCACGTGGAGAATTTTTTTTCACACTGCGCGTTGTTATCTTCATCGAAAGTATCACTCGCGAATACTTCATCCTTCAACATACTAGCTGGTTCCAAGTGTCGTCGATTCCTGCGAATTGGTCCGTTGTCTGTTTCAATTATGTAAGAACGGTCGCTCTGTTGTGTCCTGGCCTTGACTGTCCCAGTTGTTCCTCCTCCTTCTCCCTTCACCCAAACTGTTTCTCCGGTATTCAACTGAGATAATGGTCTTGCTCTCCTTGACTTGTCGAAGTTAAGTTTTTGATTCTGACGATATTGTACTTCCACTTGACGTACTCTTTCCAAGTCTGGCCATTTCGGGTAGTAGTTTCTAGGATTTTCCGGCAAAGTTGTCCGAAGTTTTCTCCCCATTAAGAGTTCGGCTGGGCTGCTTCCATTCTTTAATGGCGTTGCTCGGTATGCCATTAATGCAAGGTACGGGTCATCTGCATTTCTTATCAAACGCTTAACAGTCCGAACGGCACGTTCCGCTTCACCATTTCCTTGTGGATAGTGAGGGCTACTTGTTTGATGTCGAAAACCATAATCCTTGGAGAAGGTCTGAAAGACTGAGCTAGAATACTGTGGTCCATTGTCAGACACCAGAATATCTGGTATACCATGTCTAGTGAAAATCGATTTCAGATGATTTACGATCGACTGTGATGTAGTGCTTTTCAACTTGGCTATTTCAACGTAGCGAGAGAAATAGTCAACGACAAGTAAGTAGTTGTCATTTTTCAGGTGGAACAAGTCTGTTCCTAACATCTCCCATGGTCTGTCTGGGAATTTGGTTGGTCGTAGAGGTTCAGCTTGATCATGTCTGTTTTTCACACATACCGAACAGCTTTTCACCAGATCTTCTATCTCACGATTTATCCCTGGCCACCAAACTGAATTCCTGACTCTTTCCCGACATTTCAGTATCCCTTGATGTCCTTCATGAATTCTTTGCAACATCTCGGCTCTGAGAACTGTAGGAATGACAAGTCGATTCCCTCTCATGAGTAAACCTTGACAGATGGAAAGTTCCTCTCTTATCTGCCAAAAAGGACGAGTGACAAGGTCGATTGATGGGTACTCATAACCAGGCCAGCCCTCCTCACAGTACTTCATGATTATTCTCAGAACGCTGTCCTCATGCAGTTTTCTCCGAATTTCTTCTAGAAGTGACTCACTTGTAGGAAGAGTTTCTATGATGCTATCTACATACGCTTCTACCGCTGTCTGTAACTCCTCCTCTCCTCTTCCAATTTCTCGCTGTGGCGATCTAGAGAGTGCGTCCGCTGTGTATAGCGTTTTACCAGGGACATGGTATATCTCATACTCATATCTCATGAGTCGCATGCGGAAACGCTGAACTCTTGGTGGTAGATCACAAATAGCTTTGGATCATAGTAATAAAATGAGAGGCTTGTGGTCTGTCTCTATGCTGAATTTCATACCAATCAAGAAATCCGAGAATTTTTCACAGGCCCATGTCACTGCCAGTGCTTCTTTTTCGACTTGCGCGTATCGTTGTTCTGTTGGTCTCATAGATCTTGACGCATAGGCAATTGGCTTCCAATGGTCAGTACTGTTGTCTGTCGCTTGTAGGAGTACGGCTCCAAGACCATACGAGGACCCATCTGCCGACACCTTTGTCGGTGCTTTAGGGTCATACAGGGCTAACACAGTCTTATCACTCAATTCCTCTTTAATTTTGCTGAAAGCTTGCTCCTGTGGAGGTCCCCATGTAAACTCATTGTCCTTGTGTAACAAGTCCCTCAATAGTTTGCTGTGCTCTGCCAAGTTAGCAGTGAACCGTCCGAGCTGATTCACCATTCCGAGGAAGCGACGAACTTCTGTCACATTTTGTGGTGACTCATAATTCTTGATTGCTGACACTTTCTTTGGATCTGGTTGGATTCCATTCTTGTCTATCACAGATCCAACGAATGTGATCTGATCCTTTGAGAACTCACACTTCTCACTGTTAAGTGTAATGCCTGCCTTTGACAGCTTCCTCAACACATTTTCTAGTCTGTTATCATGTTCCTCTTGGGAGGCTCCAAACACGAGACCATCGTCTATCTGACATAAAACTCCCTCAAAACCAGATAAGATCATCTGCATCCTCTTTTGGAAGTACTCTGGGGCAGATGATATACCGAAAGGTAATCTGTTGAAACAATATCGCCCGAAAGGTGTTATAAACGTGGTTAAGAGTCTAGACGGTGGAGCTAGAGGTATCTGCCAAAATCCACTGTTCGCATCTAGCTTGGAAAAAACTTTGGCTCCTGCGAGTCTGTTGAGGGTCTCCTCTGTGCTTGGCAGTTGAAAGTTCTCCCTTCGTACCCACTTGTTGAGTTGTGTCAAGTCAATACAAAGTCTAACACTGTTGTTTTTCTTTGGGATCACAACGAGACCTGAACACCAGTCTGTCGGCTCATCTACGGCTGAGATAACTCCTGAGCTCTCCATTCTGTGCAGTTCGGCTTTGACTTTCTCTAGGTAGGGTAACGCCACTCTCCTGGGTGTTGTGACTGCGTACGGTTATGCGTCCTCTTGAAGCTTTATCTCGTACTCCCCCTGTAGTTTCCCAAGTCCTTTGAAAAGTGAAGGGAATTTCTGCTTGTAATCAGAGTGCAGCTGCAGGCTTGCAATCTGTTTGACAATGTCAAGTTTCTCAATAGCTGGTCTACCAAGAAGTGATTTGTTGAGACCTCTAATGACGTAGACGTCCTGATGCGCTTCACGGTTTTCCAGAGAGAATTCACAGTGAAACTTTCCAATCACGTTCAAAGTGTTTCTACCAGGGCCTTTCAGAATTTTCTGCGAAGATTGTAGATTTTTCACATTCAGTGTCTTGAATATTTGCTCGGGTATTGCTGTAACATCAGCACCGGTATCAATTTTGAATTCAACTGAATGTCCGTTCACTTGAATTGTCGTCAACCATGGTTTGCTGTCACCAGAATTTGCACTTCCATGTATCGCCCCCAAGAATTCTTCATCTTCATCCGATTCTATGGCAATTTCATGCAAACTTTGACATTTTCGAGCAAAGTGTCCAATTTTATGGCATTTGTTGCATTTCTGATTTCTAGCTGGACATCCATCCCTTCCGTGAGCTTGCGAATAACCACATCTGTGACATGACGATGATGCTCCTTTGTTATTGTGTCCACCAAACGATTTCACGAATTCTTTCTTGCCAGGCTTTCCAGATTGACTGTTGTGGAAATGTTTCTTTCTTACTGTAAGTTTCTTCGAATTACCTACAGCATCTACACTTGATGTTTCTCCTGAGAATGAGGTAAGTTCATTGCGCACAATAGCTTGTTGTTTCTGTACAACCTCTTTCTGACGTGCTTGATTGATGGCTTCTTCGAGTTTAAGTTGCGGATTCATCTGAAGTTTTTCTGAGAGTTTACTGTCTCTTATGCCTACAACTATTCTGTCTCGAATCATCTCATCTTTAAGTAGTCCGTACTCACAGTGTTCAATTAATGTATACAGTGCTGTTATAATACTGTCTGCGGACTCACCCTCATGTTGTTTTCTTTGATTAAATTTGGCTCTTTCAAAGATGACGTTTCTGCGCGACACAAAATGTTCCTGGAATTTATCACTAACCGTCTCGTATTTCTTTGCGTCCTCTTCCCCCAATCCGAACGAATGAAAAATGTCCTCAGCTTCATTGCCCATGGCGTAAACAAGTGTGTTAACCTGAATTGTCTCATCCTTCTTATTTAAGACTGAAACTATTCTAAACCTTTCAAATCGTTTAATCCATTTCGGCCACTCCTCAGGTTTTGTGAATGTAAAATTTTCTGGCGGTTGAATCTGGTACGACGCCATCATAAACAAAGTCTGTACCGGCGCGAAAATCATAGACAGATAATGTCCGTAAATACTGGATGTAGCAATGCACGCGAACTATGCATTATTCCGTATAACTGCTTATTCTTCTCGCCAGGAAAAACACATTAACAAGCCGCTTCTGACACCATGTTATGTTCTGGGTTCGTTTATATACGAAGAACTACCATATTTATCAGTGAATGTGTAAACTTTTTATATTTTCCATCCTTGTTAGTTATAATAGTTAGTAATGATATACGGTAGTGCGACTTTGTCAAGTCCGACCTCGTTATGATCCGACAGTGTTATAGTCCGACACTATCATAGTCCAAATTATCAATCAGCGAAAAATAGGATTGGCCCTTTCAACGAAGATCCAACGTTGAATCAATATTGGCAATTCAACTCAATTTGAATTCAATGTTGATTCAACGTTAAATTTCAACGTTGAAAAGTCAACGTTGAATCAATATTGTATCTAGATTTATCAACGTCTAAACCCAACTTCAACTAATATTCAACGTTTAAACAACGTTGTGTGCCTGCTGGGAACGTCTAAACCCAACTTCAACTAATATTCAACGTTTAAACAACGTTGTGTGCCTGCTGGGCATCAGCGAGCCATGCTGTTTATTACCGGAAGTCCACATACATGTATCAAGTCGTAGATGTAATGTTTCAACTTTCATTTAATGTACATTTCGATAACACACATTATCCTACAGTACGTGTCCGTTGGTTTTGCTTTAATGTATACTTGTTCTGCGAAAAGGTCTGTTGATTATGCATTGTATATCATTTGTTAAGTTTTTATGGTCATTGAAATTTAAATAATTGTTTGTTTTCGTATTATTGTAATTTTTGCCCTTTCCGCTGCCCATACTTTACCTTGTACCTTTGTGAGATCTATAGTTGGTGATAGTCCAGACGTGCTGATGAAGGCAAAACGGAACTGTTGTCCAAGCGGCTAACGGTGTTTTAGTTTGCATCGATGTATACGTGGGTATTTCAAAAAGATATTGCATTAATTAATACAACAAATCAATTTATTATATTTACTTATCCTTGATGGAATTCCAAACTTAAAAAAAATTATGTTCAAGGCACTTTAGAAAAATTGGGTTTGTATAAGAATGAAATGGTTAAAAAAAGCCCTGAACTATGATCGGGAGTTTTATTTGTGGGACAGGAAATTGTTTTTTTTTAAAGTCTCTATTAGAGTTATGGCCCATAGTCTACGTGCTTTTGCAACCATTACGTTTTCACCAGATTATTACACTTCCATAAAAACTTCAAACACTTTCTGCTGATTTAATGTGTGTATTTGAACGGATAGCCCATTTTTGTGTTCTTAATTAATAGTATCTGTTCAATTCTTGCTACAGGCAAGGAAATAATATATGACAAATGAAATGTGAGGTCAAGATACAGTGTAATAATTCAAGGTAATAAATTTTCATACAATTTCTCCACCCGATTGCAATTTTTCTAGTATGTATCCTAAAGGTTTTAGCATAATATAGGGTTTGGTAATTTTAACATTTTGTTGGTGACCTCTCGATCAGACAATCAAAAAAAAAAAAAAAAATTTAGACCTCCTTAGAAGAATCAAGAAGAATGATCTCGAGCATCTTTAAAATCAGAATTTCGAAAAGTTAAACTAAAAAAAAAAAGCAGAAAAGGTAAAGAACAGTAAAATTTGACATAATGGCTCCTCCTGGTGCAAATATACATTTTTATTGCACAAGGAAACCTTGCCATTGTGCATACTGGTTCAACAACCGGTTAAAGACTTTTCAATGTTGCCATAAACTAATCTAGGCCCTTTGAGAGGTACGCACGTCCATTTCTGTGACTTTTCAATCAAGAACTTGATCCACTGGATGTACATGTAGATGTTGGAAGTTTTTTTGTCCCTTTTGAAATCCTGTCAATTAATAGATTTCCTTCTCCATTAAGGAACACCAATAAAATTGATGCCTTAGAGATTTCAATTGTAAATTCGAAAACGGATTACGGATTAAGCGGTAGATTCGTTGATGATTATTAAAACTGTGTTAGACAACAACTTGTAGGATGAAGACGCACTCAAGACTAGAGGAAAATTATTATATTAGTTATGAATATACATGTAGTTTAAATATACAGAAGAAAGAAAATATATACATGTACATGTACTTTCAGTTTCATGTTGAGATCATTATTGACAACTCATTCTAAAAAAAAAAAGGTTAATGCAAATAAGAAATTTCAAAAATATATTTCCTTTGTAGAGAGCAAGATATAGAAATGGACCATCATTTAATTTACAAAAGTTTTAGGCCTTCAAATTTTGTTAATTGTTGGCAAAATATGAAGAGAAATGCCACCTCATATTTTAAGGGAGAGAATTAAAAGGAAAGAGAGAGTTTACAGAAAATTACATGAGAGAGTTTTGGAGAGATCAGAGAGTGAGTGAAGAGGGGAGATACTTTGAATATAAATTTATAAAATTGAAAATA